ACACACTGGTTTAACACTTAAACTCTTCACAGCAGAATCTGAAACACTTACTCATCTGTGTCTTCTTCTTCTTCTTCTTCTTCTTCTCCCCAGGCCATGCGGCCTTCAGCAGGAGGACTTGGAGGTGTTTGTGCTTTTATTTGAGTGTTTTTGTCTCCTGAGCTCGTAACAGAAGACCTCTTACTGGAGCTACTGGAGCGGCTAGAAATAAAACACAAAGACTTAAAGCGTCGTCTGAAAGCTTCTCTGAGCTGATTTCTCTCTCCGTCTCTCACCTGGCCAGGTCCAGGGCCTCCAGGGGGGAAGGGCCACGGCTGTTCAAGGTTAGGCGGGGGGTGGGGGGGTCCGTGGGAGAGTCCGTGGAGTCCGTTGGCTCCCACAGAGCGTTGTGTTCGGACAGCAGCTGGCTCAGGTGGTCTCTGTCGAAGTTAGCTCCCCAGGCTCGACGGCGGTACGACGAGGCCTTCTGCCTCAACTCCCTCACCTGGACAGGAAGTGAGTCTTTAACACCTTTGTGTCACAATAGTCCAGGAGATAAGAATCCACAGGAATTAGTCTACAGCCACACTACTACGTCCACTTCTGATATACAGTCTGTGGTCTCAATGAGCTCTAGCGCCACCAGGAGGTCAGTACCATGAACACTGACTTGTCCTTCGTAGTGGCCCTGATCAATATACAGTATATATATATATATATATATATATATATATACACACTGTATATACTGTGTATATATATATATATATATACACTGTATATACTGTATATATATATACATATACATATATACATATACATATATACATATACATACATACACACATACATACATACATACATACATACATACACATATATACATATATACATACATATACATACATACACATACATACATACATACATACACACACATACATACACACACATACATACACACAGATATATATATTAGTGCTGGGCAACGATTAAAATATTTAATCTCATGGATTTTTTGCGATTAATCGCATTGTTATGGCAAAGTTCAATAATGAATTCAAAAGTAGTGTATTGCGCACTTTTATTTTAAAAGTACTGCTATATGAACAAAAGGGCAATAACATTTGGTTCACAAGATGCAGGTAGCATGTTTTATACTTAATGTGAATATAATTCATACTTTGTTGGCATCTTATTCTGAAAACCGGATGTTGTCTCACGTTAATCTTTCCGCTAACTTTCAAAGTCCTTCGCTCGCTCCCGATCTGTGCCGTTTAAATGCATTTACCGTGAATTTCAGCATATAGGTGCACTAATATGACTGACTATAGGATGTTTGCTGGTTTTTATCCCACTGTTCTTGTCATCCTCTTGTTGTTATGTATATGTATTGTCTCTTGTCTTTCAATTTAAAAAAAATAAATAAATAAATAAATTATAATAAATTTAAAAAATGCGTTAACGCGCGATAAAATAATTGCCGGCGTTAATTAATGAATGCGTTAACGCGAAATTAACGCGTTAACTTGCCCAGCACTAATATATATATATATATATATATATACACACCTGTGTGTGTGTGTGTATATACCTGTGTGTGTGTATATATATATCATGGCTGCAGGAACAGAGTTCATACATTCAGTGTTCAGGAAGCAGCAACATGACAAAACAAGATTCACAAGTGTGAAAGTGTGAAGTTTCAACGTTTCGTCTTCACTGACACAGAAGAGAAAGGAGGAAGAACACGTGTGCAATGTTTGTGATTGACTCGTATAAAACAGAATAAACACAAGAGGCAGAAATGCTGAACGACGGGTTTCAAGGGGAGAAGTTTTGTCCGTTAAATTAGATTAAAGACTCATCGTCTGAGTTTCAGGCGTAGATTCTGGTAAACCTGACCTGACCCCGGTCCAGACACTGGATAACCCCGGCCTCCTCTTCAAAGGCAACCTCAGCATGTCTCTGAAGCTAAACCTCAACCCCCACGACACCAACCGTCACATCAGTACGCTGAACCAGTGAAGGCCTCATCGCTTCCTGCTGATGTCGGCACACATTTAGACTCTCAGACTCATTAGAAGAGATCACTATGATTAGTTTAAATGAATGAGTAAATGAATCTACAGTTTATTAGCTTCACCTGGCTCAGACCAGTCCAGACTGTCCTTACTATTTACACACATTTATACTAAACTACATAATGAATCCACTAAACCTGAGAAACACAGTTCAGGACTATTATTTGTGAAAAGTTAAACGACAACAGGAACAACAGAAGTCTAATTATTACATTATTAAGTGATTATAGAAGTCTTTAAAACTATTTTACAAACACTTTAAAGGAAAAAGAAACACAAAAAAACAAACGTAGAGCCGCTTCGAACCAGATTATTTTATAATTTTATTATTATAAACTAGAATAACCTCCTCGTGGTTTATATTCCTGCACCGACCAGTCAAGCATCAGTTTACATCCATGTCTCTGTAAAACGTCAACTGATGCTTAATTCCAGCATATATTTCATTCGATTATAGTTAAATGAGAGCAGATTAAACAACAGGAATAGCTCTCACTCATTATAGACGGAACAGTACAGAGTGAGCAATGTTAGATAATCACCTCATTGGGCTGATCTGGGTTTTAATCGGGACACAAGTGAGATCTCTGCTCAGCAATCAGCTGAACACAACGACGTGAAGCTTCATGAAGAGTTATTACAGATGATCTCAACCCTGTGATTTATGATACAAGATGTATTTTCTTTATGTGTAAATTCATATCCTTTGGTCAATAATCGTATCATGAGATAATAATAGCAGGAAGGAGCAATATTAGTGTTTTGTACCGGCAGTGAGTGTGAAACTAGTAAAGTTAGAGGATCCTCTTCATTGGTTTTTATTCGTTTAACAGCCTCCAAATGAACAAACGGGTGTTTTGTTTGTTTACAGTTTTTAGACTAATTCTCAGATATGATTCATGAATTCACGACGCTTTGCAGCACAAGTTGATGAAACAGCCACCACTAGAAGAGTCGAGACTCATCAGAGATCGCTGCATAAAATGGATCCATTCTAACTGACGCTTCTTCTTCGTGCACGCTTTGAATCACACTTTACAGCTTCATTATCTACCGTGTTGGCTAAATAAAAAGATATCTTTGTCCAATCGCCCGGTGCTCATGTGGAGTTGTATAAAATGTTTTCCCTGCACATCTTTAGGGGATCTACTTTACGCTGTTTGCACGAAGCTGTTTCATGTTTTCTGCTGAAATCTGCTGATTTGAGGCAGAAAAAGTGTTTCATCTTGCAGAAGCAGCAGCCGCCCCCCCCCCTCAAACACTTTCCACAAGACTAACCTACATGTGTGTGTGTGTGTGTGTGTGTGTGTGTGTGTGTGTGTGTGTGTGTGTGTGTGTGTGCGCGTGTGCCTGACGTGCAGTGAGCTGTTTCCCTGAAATGAAGCTCTGTGGTTTCACAGCTGACACTCAGCACTCTGGTTTTCGATCAGCAACAAACACAGTTGAGTGAGCAGGCGGGCAGTGTGCAAATCCCCCGAAAATAACACTTCAATGGAAGTGATCAGGAAACATCGATCCGTCACTTCAGCCGTCTTCAGTCCCGTTAGATTCTACATCAGTCAGGTGGTCACACCTCCAGGGAGCATTAACGTGATCAACACATTAATGCAGCAATAGGACTACAATATGTATTATAATGCATACTTTTACCTTTAGTACTTAAAGTACTTCAAGTATAATCTGATGCTAATATTTTTCCACTTTTACTTCAGTAAAATAAGAAGTATTTCTACACTGTAGTATTTCTACTTTTACTTCTTCCACCAATACTAGCTTGCTATACATTAATGATTAAAACACAATAAAATATTATGTATTATTCTGCATAATGAGTACTTTTACTTTAGATACTTCAAGTATATTGTGATGCTAATATTTTTGAACTTTTACTTCAGTAAAAGAAGTATTTCTACAATGTAGTATTTCTACTTTTAATTAAATTAAAGATCTGACTACTTCCTGCACCGCTGCTAGCTTGTTAGTTAACAAGTTTTTTTTTTTTGTTTTGTTTTTTTTTAAATGGCGCTAGGCTAGCAGTTTCTCCCCGCTTCCAGCCTTTATGCTAAGCTAGGCTGCAGACGAGCATCAACTTCTCATCTTGATAAATGTAACGGAGACAGAACGTGACCCCGCCCCCTCGTTATGACGTGGCACAATGAGTCTGAACTCTGACCTGACGGGCGTCGCCGTCCATGGCTCCGCCTCCCTCTGGGATCCTGTGGAGGGGAGAACGAAAGCTGCTCTCATAGGCTGTCAACATCCTGTCAGACAGACAGACGGTCAGGGACGTGATGCACATTCACGACACACACACACACACACACACACACACACACACACACACACACCTGTGTCCTCTCTGAACCTGAGGTGGACGAGGGGGCGTGGTTTCAGCTTTATTGAGAGCGGGGATATCGACTCTGGGGTGTGGCTTCTTATCTGACTCCTCCCTCCTCTTTTTGTTGGTCTGTAGATGAAGACAGTTCAGTCAGGACTTTTATTGTGAAAAGTCAAATGACTGCAGGAACAACAAGCGTGTGTGTGTGTGTATGTGTGAGAGAGTGTGTGTGTGTGTGAGAGAGAGTGTGCGTATGTGTGTGTGTGTGTACCATGTCTACGTGGAACAGCGGTGCTCTCTGATGATGCTCCAGGTGTTTCTGGAGGCGGGGCTCGGTGGGCGGGGCCAGACCCCGGAAGCTATGCCGGTACTCTGTCTTCAGGGGAACGGGGTGCTTCTTAAAGGGCGGCACGGACCTGCTGGAGTGGATCATCTACATGCAGGGGTCAGAGGTCAGCAGTCAGCAATCATTCGTACTGTTTACATTCGTCTTATTGTGAATTTATATTTATGACTTTCTACCTCCATCTAGCGGACACACAGCAGTACTACTACTACTACTACTACTACTACTACTACTACTACTACTGATGATAGTACAGATATATACGACACATACTACATTACCTCCCTCTTATATGATAATGTTAAGTTCTTGTATTTGCAGTATTATCCGTGTACAGTCAGTAGTACAACATGTAGTAGTATTTGGTGTATTAGGTGGATGTGTACCTGTTCTGCAGTCAGAATGGGAGAAGCAGCGGTTGCAGGTTCCTTGCAGCTGAACTGCCTGTGGTACTCTGACCTGTGACCTCCCGTCCTTAGCCCCGCCTCTAGCCCCGCCCTCCAGCGCAGAGCATGCTGAACCTGCGTCACAAATGAAGGTGAACCTAACAGAGAGACACAAACCTGTGGCGGAAGCAGTAAATCTGTATAAGGCTACATATCGGCTCACCTCATTGGCCGAGGGCTGCTGTCCATCAGGCGCTGCTGTCAAGGGTCGGCTCAGCTGTGATTGGTTGACAAGCCTGGAGGAGTGGGGCTTCACTGAGGAGACAGAAAAACAAATAAATACTCAGAATCAAAGCGTTTAAAGATTAAAGGTAAGACGATAATGAAAGCAGATATGTGATGTGTATTCACCAGATTTTCCAGCAGCTCCTGGTTCAACTGACGGTCCAGGGTCTGCAGCGGGACGTGGTCCTGCCGGAGATCCAGGGTCTGCAGGAGATCCGGGGTCAACTCGTGCTCCGGGAGGTGTTGGAGGATTTGGCCCTAGGGAAGTCTCCTTCCTGTGAGCCGAGCGACTCCTCGAGGCTGGTGATGAAGAAGAGGGACGTCTGAAGAACACCTTGTTATCTTACGTAGGATGCTAACACGCTAACGTCAGTATACAAGCATGCTAAATGTGTATTTCTAAGAAGAGAGGTCTGTAATAGAGGTTTCCTACCAGCAGGGGGTGCTGTTCTGGGTGCAGCCGGCTCAGCGAGGGATTTCTGTGGATCTGGAGGACACAGCAGAGACCTGCAGGACTGAGCCAGACCACCAGGACCGAGCCTCTTCCGCTGCTGGAGACCTGGTTCTCTGCTGATACCTGAGAGACAAAGATGTACTTGATGTCAAAGCTGGAACTTTTAATTTTCGGTTCAAAGAACAAAAGAAAGAGAGACTAAGGTTTGTCCAATCAGAGCTCGTCTCAGGGTTCTCACCCATCTGGTCGGAGCGCAGACCGGCCAATGGGACGCAGCGCTGAGGAGACACACTTCTGGACCGGAACACCCTGAAGCTCTTCTGGTATTCACTCCGACTCTGAAACACATGAATACATACATCTCAGAGGTAAACAGTGTACTTTATACTGTACTACATCTCAGAGGTACATATTGTACTTTTTACTGTACTACATCTCAGAGGTATATATTGTACTTTATACTGTACATCTCAGAGGTAAACAGTGTACTTTTTACTGTACTACAGCTCAGAGGTAAACAGTATACTTTTTTCTGTACTACATCTCAGAGGTAAACAATGTACCTTATACTGTACTACATCTCAGAGGTAAACAGTGTACTTTTTACTGTACTACATCTCAGAGGTAAATATTGTACTTTATACTGTACTACATCTCAGAGGTAAACATAGTACTTTCTACTGAGTACAGCAGTCTAACTACAGCATGTCAAACTGAAACTGATTAGCTGGATTAGCTCATTACATCCGGGTTACGTCTCATTTATCCTGACTGCAGTCTCGTGCACGATTCTGTCCGGTACACCAGTCTCGTGACACGTTCACGAGAGCTAAAGCTGCCAATTTTTAGTCACAAACCGTTCATGAATATTCATGACTTAGCGAGCTATGTGACGTTGGCTGGGTTCGTTAGCATCCGTTTGTTTGGCTAACTATGCTAACATCTGACAACCTGTTGCTTACCTTGAAGCGGACGGTCATCGCGCTCTCGCCACCGACGAACCAACGCGAGAACTCACTTCTTCGTCATTTGACCAGCATGCTAACCGTCTGCTCACCTGCTTTAGTTACAGGAACAAGCTGCCGCTGTTGCCATGGCAGCTCAGTGTCTGACGTAGCCGCGTAGACGCGTTGACGTCACTGTGTTTTCGTTGTGTTTATGACCCAATAATAATAATAACCCCTCAAAATAATAATTATAAACCCCAGAAGAAAAAAACAATAATACAATAATATAATTAATAATTACGTTAATAATAATGAGGCCTCAAAAACAATAATAAACCCTCTTAAAAATAATAATAATATGAATAACCGCTCAAAAACAATAATACAAAATAAACTCATGGAGCTTTCGACCACATTAAAATGTCTTTTCTTGAGGTTTTGAGCTGAAAAGAAAGATTTTGTTTTTGTCAAACTATATTTACATTATTGTCATATACACTGGAGCATTCATTATGCATAAATATGTCTATAGTGTATGTGAGCGTATCTATCTAATCCAGAATGAGTCCACATCACTGTTGCTGTTACAAAATTGCACCACTTTTATTCATTTAAGGCTTTTTAGTTTTTACTTTACATTTGGCTTCACCCCCCCCCCCCCCCCTCCCCTCCCCTCCCCTTCCCCCCGCTGCTGCTGTGGGTTTCTGTACTGGAAGAAACCAGTTCAGACCAACTTTAAGACCAGTTTTAAACTCCCGACGAAGGCTGAACCGAGACGATTCAGCAGAATGGAAACGGAGAAGTTGAACCCGGTGTTTGAACTGGCTGCACTGGTTCCTTTTACATTTCACTGGTCATCATGCCATACAGAGAACAAAAGAAGCAGATTTATTTCAGTAATGTAAAATAATTTCTTCTTTGAATGACTCAGTTTGCATTCGGCTGTGTGTTGCACTCGTCACTTCGGCGCGACTTCTGTTCGTTTTTACAGATACTCACAATGAGAAGATCACAATGAGTTTAATCTGCACAGAGATAGGTCCAGGATGCCTTTAGCCTAGCTTAGCACAAAGAATGGAAGCAGAGGGAAACTGCTAGCCTAGCTCTAAAAAAGTGAAAAAACACGCCTCAATTTATCCCAGACGTTAAGGCCTCTGTATGCATACTGAGGCCTTTAGATCTGCCAAAACGTCTACACACACACACACACACACACGCACACACAATGTATGAGTTTGGCCTGAGCTGCCAATCATTACAGCCACAGAAGTCACATAAAATGACGAATGCACCTCAGAAGCCAGAAAGGTCTGCCTGTAGCCGCGGCGGCGTTGCCAAGTGCTGATCTGAAATGTATCTAAAAGTGCTATCGTAACACTGGCTTTTCCTATTTGTTAGCATACTAGCACGTTAGCATGACATTTATTTATGATGATCCGCTGCAGCTGCAAACAGACCTTCGACCCGCTCGGCATGCAAACTGTTCGCGGCACCTCCCGGAGGTCAGACTGAGTACTGACAGAAACATCAACATGCTACATGACTGAACGTACTACTGCGGGAGAACAGTAGTAGTACCACACTGTACTTGCAGTACTCCCGGTAGTACAACACTGTGCACAGCAGTACTCACAGAGGTCACTGAGTCCAACACACTCACATTTCAAACAAAGACGGATATAAGAAAAAGGCTTCTTTTTTTTATGTGGCTGCTGCTTCACAGGCCACGCCCCCAAAATATGTTTGGGGGCGGGGCTTCCACTTCAAGCCCAACGTCCTCCGGTCGGTGTTGAACCTCGGCCGGCGCTACCGTTAAAAAGACACTGAGATTTTAGCTCCTCGTCGAATGAGAGCATCCATGCTAACACTTTAGCATGTTAGCTACTACCACTGCACCCAGTGTATGCTAACGTGGTAGCATGAAGTATTACACTGGATGATCTGAGCATGCAGGGACATGGAGGACCAGCTCTAACTTTTTTTTCGGTGAAGTTTGTTCCTCCATAGAGGGACAGAGACGTAAAGAACAGAGAATTCAGCGCTTCCCTCTCAGAGGAGTTAACAACATTAATATGGTCACACACACTCACAAAAACACACACAAGGTAGCCTACTGGACCAGTGTGAGTCTGCTGTCTAAAGGCAACATGTCCGCCCTGAGCAGCAGATCTAGAGTCAGCTCACCGTGCTGCTACGCTAACAAGTTAGCTCGCAGCTACTGTAATTTATTTGCTAAAGTGGCATTATTAGCTTACCTTTAAAACATAATAAATATATATTAAATTGGCTGTTAGCGCTGCCTGATATTTACTATCGCGTTAGTTTTATTTTGATGTTTTGAAACTCATCGCTGTTTACAAACGGCATGTTTAGCTTTGTTAGCTTTTCCTTATCGGCAAGCTAGCTGGCAGCTAAGCTGGCAAGCTAACTCACGGCGATCACTGTTTCTTTGTGAATATACTAACACTCACACAAGTAGTGTATTAGCATAGTTAGCCTTCAGTCCTCTTTTGGATGTATTCATAATGCTAACACCTCACAAACGGCATTATTTGCGCACAATATGTTTACATGAGCACTAGCTGCTATGCTAACAAGGTAGCCTAAAGCTATGTAAGCTTTGTCCACATTCTTTAAAAATGTCAGACCCGACAATTAGCATACGTGGATAGTTAGCATTTTCTCTAAATATTGCCAAATCTGTCGGCTAGTTAGCGGAGCGCGGCGAGCTAACCGTGTGACCTGCTGCACCTGCTACTCCCTCCCGCCCCAAAAAATTAAAAACATTAAATGACTTTTATATCTTTTTTTCACACATAATCATAATAATAACCACTGTAATAATAATAATCACTGAATGGATCCACAGGTTCAACCAGCTGCTGGAAAAACAAGTAAAAAGAACATTTAAAAGTAAAAGCAAGAGGCCACTCCCCCAGTGCTATGTGGCCTAGCAGAGAGCATGATGGGAACCGTAGTTTAAATTTGGGCAGTTGTTTGGACAGCCCCCCCATTCCTGCAACAGCAGAATCATCATCTTCATCATCGTCATGATCATCATCGATCATCACCGGCTGAAGTCTTTCGATGTTTGTTAGGTCAGAGGTGGCTGATGTTGATGATGACGTGGTTGTGTTAAAAAGGGGGGGGGGGGCGTGGCCAGCTGGAAGATGTCCTGTGATTGGTTGGTGGGTTGGTTGGTTGTCGGTCAGGTGAGCAGGAAACTGGAAAGAGAAGATTAATTAAATATTCGTAAAGTATTTGTGTTTGTGTCTATTAATATACGTATATAACGTACCTGTTATTAGAGAAGTTGGCAGTTGGACTTTTTGCGAGTTTTCCCTTGAACTGGACTCTTCCTGTTGATCTGTCGCACGAGGTCATAGAAGATCTGCACACAAACATAAATAAAACATATAGAAACATGTATTTTAGGCTCAATATCTAAAGCTAAAGAAAAAGTATAAAGATTGTTACAACTAGAAAGGTGCAGAGCTCCACCAGCTGTAATGTGTGCGGTCACCTCGTTGACGTTGATCTTGCTCTTGGCCGAGGTCTCCAGGAAGGCGCAGGAGTTCCACTGGCGGGCGAGGCCGATGCCCGACTCTTTGGCCACCACCCGCTCCACCTCCAGGTCGCACTTGTTCCCCACCAGGATCATGGGAACCTGCAGCGCCACAAGTACATTGTTAGCATAGCCTAGCACTGATCGAGCCAGATTCCATGCAGAAAACAAGCATTTTAAAAGTCGTTTGCTTGTCGTCTTGCGGACGGACCTGACAGAGGAAGAATTCAGACTTTTTACACATCTGCATGATGATGCCGTTATTTTGGCGATAATTTGCTTGGTGTTTGGTGTGAACGCAGCATTGTACTCGTATCATAAATAGCCGTGAAATCAGTTTTATGAGCTTTTAACTTTCATATTTAACATTAGAGGTTTGATTAATTTGCTCCATTATGAGGTTTTACAGATGGATGCAGTACCATCAGCTGGCCAGCAGATGTCACTAGTTACACCAAATCAACCCTCTCATTCAGTGTGTTTGAATGGTTTGGAGAGATACTAGTTAAACTATAGCACTGAAACAGTTAATGAATTAAGAAAATAGTTGATTTAAAGACAATAGATCAACAAGAGTCAATCCATTAATAATTGTGCGTGTGTGCGTGTGTGCGTGCGTGTGTGTGTGTGTGAGTGTGTGTGTGTGTTTGTGTGTCGTACGTCCTCGGTGTCCTTCACTCTGAGGATCTGCTCCCGGAGGTCCTGCAGGTCGTTGAAGGTGGACTGAGCCGTGATGGAGTAGACGAGAGCGAAGCCCTGACCGTTCTTCATGTACAGGTCTCTCATCGCCGTGAACTGCTCCTGTACACAGACAGGTGGGGAGGGAGACAGACAGGTGGTCAGAGGCATAGACAGGTGGTGAGAGAGAGACAGGTGGGGAGGGAGACAGACAGGTGGTCAGAGGCATAGACAGGTGGGGAGGGAGAGACAGGTGGGGAGGGAGACAGACAGGTGGTCAGAGACATAGACAGGTGGTGAGAGAGAGACAGGTGGGGAGGGAGACAGACAGGTGGTCAGAGGCATAGACAGGTGGTGAGAGAGAGACAGGTGGGGAGGGAGACAGACAGGTGGTCAGAGACATAGACAGGTGGTGAGAGAGAGACAGGTGGGGAGGGAGACAGACATGTGTCAGAGAGACAGCGAGTGAGAGACAAACAGTTGGACCGGGAGAAAGACGGCTGGTCAGACAGACAGACAGACAGTGAGACAGACAGACAGACAGACAGGTCTTACTGTCCCTGCTGTGTCCAGGATCTCTAACATACACTGTTGTCCATCGACCTCGACTTGCTGCAAAGAGACAAACAAACTCAAATAAATCATCTAACTTTATTATATTTCATTTAATATTCACACATCTGGACTCATTTAATCAGTTTGAATTTTCATCTTTTGTTTCCGTTCTTCTTTCCTCCCGTTTCTTCTTCTTCTTTTTGTGTTATGTGGTCGGACGGTTAGCAGCTAACATTAGCATCCAGTCTGTCCTCTGGGAACCAGTGACTACAAACTGTCTCACATCACATCGGGAGAGACAGACGGGCTGAAAGCCTGTCTTACCTTCCTGTAGGAATCCTCTATCGTCGGGTCGTATTTCTCCACAAAGATCCCCTGAACAAACTGGACGGTCTGGAGACAGAGAGACAGGCAGAGGGACAGACAGGCAGAGAGACAGATAAAGAGAAGTAGGCCAGTCATGTTAATGGAGCTCTGTTCTGTTCTCATTGGAAGTCATTAGAATGGAAATAATGTGACACACTGACACATCTCCATTATACCATCTACACTGAAGCACCTCATTGTGTGTGTGTGTGTGTGTGTGTGTGTGTGACAAGTTTGAGCTTTTATTTTGAAATTAAAACATAAAATCAAATCTGCAAAATAGTGATTTTTTGTGTTGTTGTTCATGAAAAGGTAGTTTTAGTGAGAAGAAAACAACAATTAAATAAATGTATTAACTAAATAATCTGAGATCCATTTAATAATTTACATCCATCTTTTCTCATGTGATCCTAAAAGTTTTTATTATTATCAATAAATCTTATTAAAAGACTCTCAAAAACCAAATACATAGTTTATTTATGTGTAAAGCAGTGGTTTCCTCTCATGCATTGAAACATTGGTTGTTTACAAAGATAATAAAATGAATAAATGTGTTTAATATTTAAGATTCCAACAAGCTTAAAGCTACTTAAAGAGGTTTAAAGGGTTTAAAGGCGCTCTGTAATCGCCTACAAAGATGGCCGCTGTAGTTTTTATCAAACTCATGTGTAGATGGTGATGAAGGACAGTGAGGCTCGTTGTTTTAATGGAGGTCTATGGCTCAGAGGAGGAAGATGGTTTACTCACAATAACAAACATGTAGAATATTGTTTACTTTATGATTTAATGGAAACAGTAACAAGGTTTCATAACTTACCAGAGCGGACTTTCCAACTCCTCCTGATCCTAAAACTACCAGTTTGTATTCACGCATCCTGACTGTCTGTCTGTCTGCTTGGGGCGAGGGAGAGAGACAGAGA